CCAGGAATGTAGAAGCGATGTTAGAGGCCCTCTACAACGTGAAATTTCTACAACCAAACTCTACATCATAAGCGGCGAACGAGGGCACGGTCGCTCTCCGGCATTAGGCGCGTTGCACTGGTGCCAGTGCTGCCCTGGCCTTCTGTCTGCCCGCCCAATGGGTGGCAGGTGCCTCTGCTGCTGTGGCATGCCCCACGGCTGCGACTGGCCGGCGCCTCGGCGCGTCAGCTCGGCTCGGCGTAGCGATCGTGGCCAGCGCAACTCGCTTAGACTCAACGCTCAGCCAGGAGCTCCCGCACGCGCTGGCGCGAGTCATGGCGCATGCAACGCGCAGCAATGCTCGCCTCGCCTCGCGCAAATGCGACCGTCCTCGCAGCCGAGAGTCCACCGCCTGCTAAAGAAGCACAGCGATGAATGCGGCACCGGCGACGCATGGCAGGCTGGTCATGACGCAGTCATTAGGGTGTTGTGTGCCGTCAGAGTGACTCTGAGTGTGTGTCAGGGATATAGTCAGGGCTGTCCATCAGAGCTCCAGCAAGCTCGGAGACACCCCACTAGTGCGGCTCGACCTCTTTGAGTCACTGCCTTCCCGGCGGGTTTGCTGTAGAGCCTCTACAACAAACTCTACGGCAAAATCGCGCTCTACAGTGCTCTATACATCTACATCGCTCTGTCCCGCGCCGGATGTAGAGCTCTATACAGCTCTACAGCGCTCTACAGCTCTACAGCTCTACAGCGCTCTACACTCTACATCCTCTACACCCTCCCTCACTCAGGTGTCATGAAGCATGAATGATAGATAGACATAGCAAGCACATGAACCATCGAAGGGTCTGTCCAAAAAGAACTCTCGGCGGGCCGCGCGCCCCGCCCCTAGCCCCGCCCGAGTTTGAAAAGGGCGACGGACGCTTGCGTCCTAGCCTCCAACAACGCCTCCCCGGCGCAGAGGGCCCCCCGGAGGGATGCTCAACCGCTCCACGCCACGCCGCTTCCCGGTTATCTTTTATTTTCAGACAATTCCGCGAAAAACTTCGGTGTCGGTGTTTCCGTTTGATACGGCGTGTGGTGGCTCACTGCCTTCTCGTGTCCAATCGTCCCAGTCCTCTCCGTTCTCCAATTCTCCTCCTTGCCTCGCGCGCCTCTTTTGCGGCCTCGTCCCTAGCCGCCTTGCACGCCCTGCATCCCCAAAACGCACTCCTCGTGGCGGGGCCCCTCATTCCCCGTTTGTTTTCCCCCTCTAGAATGCGCCTGTGGTGTGCCCCATGTGGCACCCCGACCTGTTGTCTCACCCTGGCCCCCAAGATCGTTTTGGTCGTCACATTGTGATCCCCGACGTCGTCAAATGTCGCTCGCCTGTCCTTCCCCCCGTTCTCGTCTGGTAATCTCATCTTATTATCCCATCGATGCTTGAGGCTGGCTACTGCCACTTGTTCTTCGCTCCACAGCCGTCCCGCCACCCCTGCCGTGTGCGATCCCGGCCTCACCGTCTTTCGATATTGCTCGCACACCCACTTGTGTGCGCTCTGACACATGTGCCCATACGTCCGTCGGTCCACTATCTCCCTCTTCTCTGTGTCCTCTGCCGCCTCCCTTCGCGCCGTGTACATGCATGGCCGAGTTCGCACCGCGTCCCGCACCACTTTTGAGGCGTCCTCTGTGTCGTTATTTCCGAGGTATGCTGCTGTCGCCACCGCGTCGGCGTATGCGTTGCAGGCTTTTCCCACGTGTGTGCTGGCACCCACATGAAGACCACCGCCTTTAGCTTCGATCTATAGGAAGCAATCGCCTCTAGGAGACCGCCTCTCTCCCAGTCCCTCAGGCCTTCTGGCATCCCTTTGCGGTGTGCGCGCACTTGCAGCACTGCGGCGGGATTTTTCTCTGATCACGGCGTGTGCTCCAGCCCTTTTCCTGTCCTTCGCACGACATGTCGATTGAACTCTTGCAGCGCGGTGACCTCGGGTACGACACCGCCCTCTCCAGCCTCGGCAAGCTCACCGCCGAGACGCAGGCGCGTGTGTCGCGTCGTCGCCCCTGGCGGCCGCCTGGCAGAGCGTCGGCCCGCGCTTCACGACACCGCCGCGCCTGTATTCAGGTGCAAGAGTCGCGGATGACCCTCGAGGAGAAGCGCGCTGATCTGCTCGAGGCGAAGGCTGCGCAGCTCGAGTCGGAAGTGCTCAAGCTG